GGTCTTGGAAGCGAATGCGTTAAGCAAATTGTCGTGGAGCGTTTATGAACTATTTTCCGACGAGACCAATCCGGATGACTCGCCAGTTCTCGACAAATACCTTGCCCTCGCCTGGTAATACAAGGTCAAGCCGCCCCCTTCAGGAACTATTCATTGTGATCAGCATTCTTGCTCCACAAGCTCAGGACTCATGTCCTAGTCCATTATGGGGGGGCGCCATGGAACTCACGACAATGTCCGGTATCAAACCTATAATCTGGTCTTGGCTAAACGAGTTCCACTTGCTTGGCTGTAAGCGCAAGAGTCGGGCCGACTCTCAATCGTAATGTCACGTCAAATTACATATATACACTGTTTGAAGCCGCGTTGGCGCTACACACATGTATGTGTAGACACCTCGCGCGCGATAGGATCACAACGATCAGCGAATAGCTGCTTTGCAATCGCATTCACAACTCACAGTTCATCATCCCCGCAGTAATACTGTCTGCGCTTGGAACCGCAGCGGTTGAGGAAATGCGTATGCTTCATGGGAGATGTACCCTTGAAATCTAGAAGCTATTGTAATTGCCGATGCATGTCATACTCGAACCGCGAACTGGATAAGGGGAACACATCGCGCATGTATCTGAACGTGTTACATCCCTCAGCAAAGTAGATGTCGATGTGACAACCCATCACGTCCGATTTATACTTGGCAGCGTCGCTTGTCTTTATGAGAGGGCTGAAAAAGCGACCACCTAGGAAGGTTATTCCCCGCAAGTTTTGTTTATCACTGTAGGAAAGTGCGCGTCGACAGGTGACCCTGCCTCTTCTCCAAGAAAGACAAAGGCTTAGGTACGTCAGGTCGTATGCTACCGCGGTATGATGACAACCTTGTCGAAGTAACCCTCAAGCTCCCACTAACCATCGAACTGAGGATAATCTTCAAGTCCATCAAATACTAGTAACGCCTTGTGCACAAGCCGGTCCATCATATGTCACGCCTGAAAGTGAGCTGTCCATTTTTATAAGCACTAATACACCCTTACGACTGGCTCTCGAGAGCTCACTCGGTTGTGGCGGCACGTCGACCCTCTTTGAGAATCATGGCGTGCGTCCAAAGTTGATATGAACCAGATTTGAACTCTCTCTGAGCTTTGCTATCGCTCTACCTGACTTAAGGAGCTCTTAGCGGCTTTGAATCACGACGCTGCTTTGAAGCAAAGATTATATTAGCTTCTGGGATCTTGTTGGGTTGGCAACAGCATCCTTGGCTTGTAAAGGCGGAATCGTAGCATGGCTTCAGTAATCCCAAGTACTACACAGGATTTGTTTGCTTTCTCTGGATTTTTGTACAATTCAATCTTTTATCGCTATGACCGTAAACAGTTCGATGTAGCTCGGTCGCAACTTGGTCTTATAGACCGTAGACATGGATGTAAAGGTGGAATGATCGTGTATATTCTATCTTCTTCTGATTTTAGCGTGCTGCTTCATTTAGCTTAGCTCTCACCCAAAGCATGGCGCACTAAATTTATACATCCGAGCAAATTCAAATAGAGCGATTTATAGGATATAAGAAGAA